AAATGTAGCATTGCATCAGTGTCTCAGCAATGGATGCTCTGCAGTGAATGGGTGCCGTCAGAACGAGAGTCCAGACAGCTGATAAAAACATCACAATAATTCACATGTAATCCACACTACTCCAGTCCATCAGTTAACATCTTGTGAAGTGAAAACTTGCATGTTTATAATAAACAAATCCATCATTAAGATGTTTTTGACTTTAAACTGTTGCTTCTGGCTAAAATATGAGTCCTCTATCCATATTGATTTTTCCATTGAAAAAGTCTTCTCATCGTACAGATCAAGGACCGTTTACTAGCAAAAACAGTTTAAAACAGATCGAAACAAATAAGTTGGTGGATTTTGATGTGAGGGGACGACAGGAGATTTTCCACTGGAAGAAGCGTTATTATGAATAGAGGAGTCATATTTTAGCCAGAAGCGACGATATGAAGTTAAAACCCCTTAATAATGGATTTGTTTCTTACAAACAGCAGCTTTGCACTTCACAAAACATTAATAGAGAGACTGGAGTTGTGTGGATTACTTGGCGTGTGGATTATTGTGATGTTTTTATCAGCAGTTTGGACTCTTATTCTGACGGCACCCATTCACTGCAGAGGATCCATTGATGAGCATGTGATATAATGCTACGTTTCTCCAAATTTGTTCTGATAAAGAAACAAACTCATCTAAACCTTGGATGGTCTGAGGGTGAGTAAATGTTAAGCAAATTTTCATTTTTGGGTGAATTATTCTTTTAAAATGTGAATTTATGATTTTGTAATAAGATGGTCAAAAATAGCTTAATTTGCTAGAGACAATACATTGAATTGTACATAATTGCAGAGCTTTGTTTTGCTGATTGGGCTACAATTTCTTGGAATACAGGTCAAAATCAAGTCATTATTGAAGAGCTTGCAATCCTGACACCCCAATATATAGAGCTTTTATGTAACCTAATTGATATACCAAATAACCCTCCGTACATTACTGGCTATTGGACTAAAGATGGACAAGAAATTGAAAACTCTGAAGAAACTGTAAATAGAAACAATGAACAGTATATCCTTAAAAGGACGTAAGTGGTTGTTTATTTCAGAAAATAATCATGTCATTTCTAATAAATGTCAAAAAATGCAAATAAGACATGTTAAAGAAGTAAATAAGCAATTCAGTATTACTAAACAATGACTTAACACTGCTTTAAGTTGTTTAACCTTTTTCATAGTTTAACCTTGGCTTTTTCATAGTTTCAGTATACAGGCCAGAGACCTGGGGAACTATTCCTGCATCTTCAGAGAAAATGAGGCACAAGTAACATTTGTTTTAGTTGGTATGTTGTCATTTTATGTACAGATTGTGTTGTTTTAAATGGTTTATACAATCATATTCATCATTTTGATTTACGTTAACCTGATGTATTTTGCTTTTTTTTCTCAAGTTCCTGTAATAAAAGACAAAAGATACAAGCCGGTAGTGAGCTACACCGGAGATTCAGTTGTACTTGAATGTAAACTCAAGCACACACCAAACACCTGGAACTGGTACAAGGCAAACAACACTGAAAAGGTGAATGAGAAATGAGGAATATGGGATTGATTATACTTAAATGAGACATTACCTCACAATAAAGGGGTTATTCATATCTAGTGTTATTTTAAAGTATTTATTGATAGTAATATAGCTTTTATTTTGTAGTTCTAGTAACTGTTAGTAATTAGTAATGTTTTGTTAGTTTTTTTTTTCAGCTAATATAATTTATAATTTCATTTACTCAAAATGATTTTTAATAGTTGTACTTTAACAATAACAACACTGTTCATATCAGTGTTTTTTTTCTCTTCACAGGGACTCATCAATGTTACTGCAAACCCTCTGAACTACAAGATCTTTATTAATGGAAATGAAACAAAACTGACTGTACTGAATCTGACTGAAGAAGATTCTGGAAAGTACATATGCAGCGCTGAGTTTGATATCAAACCCAGTGAGTCTTACGTCGAGCTGAAGGTCTTGTCATATACTGAGCCTCTCAAACCCTTCATTGCTATAGTGGTTGAAGTCATTGTCCTGGTCACACTGATTTTGCTTTGGGAAAAATGCAACAAGCCGCAACATGACAACTCTTTTGCAGGAGGTACAGTAAACTTTAATGAATAAGAGGAATATATGAGGAATGATCATGCATATTTAGATCTGTCTCCGTTGAAAATTAACAAAGGATTTATCCATTTGCAGAGAATGATGTCTGCTCTGAACAAACCAGCAAACTGTAAGTGTGTTCAGATCAGTTCATATGATTTTAAAGATTCACTGAATATATTTCGTAAAAGTTAAGTTACAGTTACACTTGCTTGAAGGTTTTTCAGACATTGTGAGTGATGGTGCTAATTTTTTTTCTAGCACTCGTGATGAGAGCAATGGAGTGGAGAACAACACAGCAAGACAAAGAAAACTGGAGCACTGACCTTTTCATTTTAACAGATGGAAAAAAAGAGTGATTATGTGATGTGGCTTGAATCACATAAAGCAATAAGCAATGTTTTTTGCCTAAACTAATTCTGTCACAGCCATATATATATAAACATATTACATTACATTATATATATATATATTACATTCTCAATGTAACATCATAAAAATATAAGGCATGTTTACATAATCTTCAATATAGTGTTATTGCTAAAGTTTTAAGTGTTCATATGACCTTTTTAAAGTCAATTTAATAATAAAGGTCAACTAAAGATAAAACTGATTCTTTTTCTGAAGGCTTTATTAAAGGATTAAATCGCTTCATATAATGCAAAGTTTTAATTTCTGCTTATATTCATTTATAAACATTGATCAACACACACACAAAGGTCAAAGGAAGTTCAACTTTGCTTGAACCACGAGAACCAATGAGGTTTTTCCATCATAAAAAGCAATCGTATCGCTTCTGAAGACTTGGATCAAACTGCTTGATTCATGCGAATTACTTTTACGACATCTTTTTGTACTTTGTGATGTGTGAAAGCTTTTGGTTGCTTGGACTTTCAATTGAGGAACAGAAAGAGCAAAGCTAAAAAATGGTCTTCATTTGCATTTCAAAGATGAACAAAAGTCTTATGGGTTTGGAATGACATGAGGGCGAGTAAATGACAATTTTCATTTTTGGCCGATTCCTTTAAATACAAATATTCTTCAACAAACAATGTGTAATCTTTTAATTTTCAGTTCTATTTTGGGCACTTAAATACAAAACAAAAACTTCTTTAAACACAAGTCTTAAACTTAAATGAAGACAAAAATAACATGCAGCCCCATATATTATGTTTATTGACGCGCAGAACAATAATATCATATTTTCTGTGCTTCTGCATTTTCAAAACTGTGGTTTGTTCAATAAAAACGGCAGTAGCAGTTTAAGAACGGCATCATTCAAGCCCACAATGTCTCCGTCTGTGATTCCCTCATACAGACGCATGCTTTCTGTGCCCCAGCAGAAGTTCTTCCTGCTATTGTTGCCATCAGCCCTTGGACTCAAAGCCAGAGTATTGAGCTGATAGCAGAAAAATGAGAAGAACTCCCCATCTGTGATGACAGCCTGAGACACAAATGGCCTGCTCACACCGTCTGTGATTCCCTCATACAGACGCATGCTTTCTGTGCCCCAGCAGAAGTTCTTCCTGCTATTGTTGCCATCAGCCCTTGGACTCAAAGCCAGAGTATTGAGCTGATAGCAGAAAAAGAAGAACTCCCCATCTGTGATGACAGCCTGAGACACAAATGGCCTACTCACGTCCTCTTCACTCCAAAAACCTGGGCAGATCAAAACATACTGAGTTTTTAAGAAAGCATGCATGTTGATGCATGTCAGTGTCCTACAATTGTGAAAACAATGGATCAATTCAATAGAAATGCGCTCTTAACCTGACCTCAGGACAATTCTGCCACTATTTAAAAAAAAATCCAAAGTTTACAGAAACACTAACCTTGATACAAAACCTGCGCCACTGTCCATGCAAACAGGCTGGCAATACCGTTGGCTCTCAGTGACACCTCGACCTGATCAGAGAGACCTCTCTTGCTCATTTTGTCCCTGCGGAACCTATCGGAGACTGTGTGTGACCATAGCAGCATGGATATTCCAGTTTGGCACCTGTGGGGTAAAACAACATGCACACATTTCCAACATATTGTCATGGATTTAAACTTCAAACTAGGGGTGTGCGATAATGACAAAAAATGATATCTCGATATTTTCTGGAATTTTGTCGATAACGTTAATTAGACAATATTTTGCTGAGCATGTTATTGTGCTGGTACCTTGGTAGGTTTAAGACTGCCGTGGACAGCTGACTCCCAAAACTTTTGATATTATTCATATTCTGAGGTGGTTAGTTAGCAGGAGCAACAGAAATTAACTTTTCCAATAAGTTTAAATAGATTTTTACCTTTTATAGGCATTTTTACCTTTATAAGGCCATTTACCATTTTTTCTAACCTAATTAAATGTATGCATCTTTTATAAATTAATGTAAATTAAATGTAATCAATAAATTCAAATAGTAGGACACTATAGGGCTGTTAATAATCATGTATAATCAGTAACAACACAATTTGTGTTTGCAATGCAGAGGTTGTTCTGTGTGGTCAGTTCACAGCAGTGATAGAAATTAAGCTTTTCCAATAAGTTTAAATAGATTTTTACCTTTTATGGACATTTTTTCTAATCTAATTAAATGTATGCATCATTTTTTGTGTCAAATTCTTACATTTAATCAATAAATTCAAATATACACTATAGGGCTGTTACCAATCAAATGAAATCAGTATCAACAAAATTTGAGTTTGCAATGCAGAAGTCGTCACCTTGAAATAATAAGGTTCTATATGCCATTTTTGTCCGAATTTAATTATTCACATTTTTATTCTGTGACAACTTATTTACATTATGTGATGTTTTTTTTTTGTTTTTTTTTAAAGTTGTGTACATTTTGGGACTGATGTATGAAAGAGACTTGTTCCCCATATCAATGCAAAAATGCAAAAACTTTGAAGCTCAATATCTCGAAACTGCTCAGCATGCAGATAGAACCTTATAATTCCAAGGTGACAAGGTGGCACAGAATCTGAATCTGAAGTGGCATTTAGATGCATTTACACAGACTGTTTAATGTAGGACATGAATGCATTTAACCTGCAGTTACAAATACATAAATAATGTTTTGATATTTAAAAAGAAAATGTTGAATACTGATATTTGAAATGATTTTTTGGGAAAAAAGGGAAAATATACTTTAAAGTCCCTATGAAATCATCTTCACTTGATTCAATTCCTCCGGTCATCTTTTCCTTGCGTCCTTCCCTCGCATCCTGAAGGGGTGGAGCTAAGATGCGAGGAAAGGAAACGAGGATGCACAAATAAGAATTGAGAAGCACCCACCGTCGTGTGTTGCTCAGAGACGCAAAACAGGGGCCCGTTCTTCGTACCTCGCTTAATACATCTGAGATTATTTGAAAGATGCCAGATCTTCTAATCGTGATAACTGATCTCTGGCTAATTTGGTTCTTCAAACTAATTGATTGACGAAACTATTTGCGGATCTGATTAAAATATCTGGATTAAGTTGTCTAAGATTATTGCGCGTTCTCATGTTCCCCGTAAAGGGTTAGTTCACCCAAAAATGAAAATTAGGCTGCATTTTACTCACCCCCGAGGCATCCTAGGTGTATATGACTTTCTTCTTTCAGACGAATCCAGTCGGAGTTATATTAAAAATGGTCTTTGATCTTTCAAGCTGTTTAATGCCACTCAGCGGGTGTTGCATTGCTTCAGTCCAAAATAACTTAAATAAAAAGCGCCCATCCATAAAAATAAAAAAAGTGTATCACACGGCTCGTGAACAAAGGCCTTCTGT